TTTACATTACTCATATATCGATACTTAAACAGAGTAGAAATATTAGTATGTTTGGCTTCCATGCTATGGAATGTAATGAAAATTGGACAGATTAGGTTCCATAAGTCACAGTCCTTTGATTCATAAAATTAGATTTTATAGTTTGCTATAACACAAAAATGTTTATTATATGCAAGAGTATAACGTATTAAGTGTAGTTTTATGCATAATTAGTTTCTCAGTAGTACAGTGAATATTAGGACATGACTAACATTACCATTAAAAGTTCCAAGTCAATTATGATACATAAATATAATGGGAAATTACTATGCTGTAAGAAATAACAAATATGGTGAATACAGAGAAGCATAAAAAGACATGAACTAATATAAAGTGAAGTAAGCAGAGCTAACAAAACAATACACACAGTGACTACAACAATGAAAGTGGGAAGACCAACAAGCACAAAATATTCAAAAATGAATGTCGCACATGAGAAAGACCAAGCTCGTCCCCAAAGAAGACATAGGAAAAGATACCTGTCTCTACTCTTTTGAAGTGGATGATTCATGAATGTAGAACATTACATATAATCAGGTTGTTGGGTTTTTTTCAATGTGTTAGTTGATTTGGTGATTTTGTTTATCTTCCTCTTTTTTTCTTAAAAAAAAAATTCTTTGGGACTTATGGCCAAGATGACTGCCCAAATGGGAGGCAGACTGTATAGCTCCCAAATATCTACTCCAGCAAAACCCAGACCAAATAAATATCAAGAAATCCAATGAAAAACTACAGTAAACTACTTCTCCACAAAGATAATAGAAAAAGACACTACAGGTATAGTCAATGCCAGTGCAGGCTAGCTTTCCAGTATGACTGAGACAGGACAGAGAAATTTGTAGCCTTCAAGGTTATCTGTCCAGAGGCATCAAGGGTTTTCCCCCCAGTAAGCCCAAGGATAGAAACTTTGCAACCTCCAGGCACCTCCTGGTTCCTTTCATTCTGTCCTGAGAAGCCAGTAATGGTCCTGAAAATCCAGCACTCAACCTCAAAGATCCGGCAAAGCCTACCTCCAGGAGATGAAGGTCAGCATCTGGGGCCCCAGATGAAGAACAAACGAGGCTGACTACCCCACTCTAAAACACAGCAAGGGATGGAGTCTACCCAAAGCCCCACTTCAGGAGCTACAGCTTGAGAAATGAGTGAATAAAAGAAAATGCCAACTGGCATAAAAAATTATTACAGCTCTAGAAATCCCCCAAAAGAAGGAGAAAGAAACTCCGTAACAACTATAAGCAAAGACTCAAGGGGGAAAATGGATTCTCCACAAAGACCACATGAATACTTAGAAGAAATGAAGCAAGAGGTAAAAAATTAAATAAAATATTTGGAGAAAAGAATTGGAAGGAGAATAAGTAGCTTAGAACAGAAAAATGGTAAAACTTGCTGAATAAATGGATTCTTGAAAACTAGAATAACTCAAACAGAAATAAATGACTTCTAAAAAATATTAGAAAAAACTTCAAAACTTGATAAAATAAAAGACAATTTAAGACATCTGACATTAAAAACAACTGATCTGTAAAACAGGAAAAGGAGAGATAATTTAAAGATCATTGCATTCCCTGAAACCCATAACAAAAAAAAAAAAGCCAGGACACTATATTTAAAGAAATTATAAGTGAAAAATGTCCAGATCTATTAGCACCACAGGCCAGAAGAAAAGAAAGATAGAAATAATCTACTGATCATCTCCTGAAAGGAACCCCAAAAGGAAAGTCCCAGGAATGTCAAACCCAAAATCCAGAGCTCACATGGCAAAGAAAAAAATTACTGGAGGCATTCACAAGAAAGCTGATGCCAAAGCTTCCACATTCACCCATAATTTTAGATATTTTCCATAAAATTCTGCAATGATTTCTCTTTGCCATATAGATCAAGTCTGAGAACCTTATCATATGCTTTAAAATCTTAAAACAGGATGCACCAGACTCAACAATAAATTTCTATTGAAGTGAATTAAGTGTTTTAAATTAATCCCCTAGGAACACCAACTCAATGTCTCCTCTCATTTTTCATCCCACGTCTACCTTTGATCCTTCATTTCAACAATTTATTTCAACAAACATCCTTCATCAAAATAGAACCACAAACAAAATACAAGGCCTTGCCTATAGTAAACATTTAATAAATGTGTTGGCTGATCCCTCCCTACAATCACAACTACCACTTCCATCTGTCTACTAAGCCAACCTCTTTTCCACTATTTAAATAGCTTCTGAAATTCTACCCTTTCATGAACCTTGAACGGTCATGACCGACCGCACCCACCTTCTCCAAAGTAAGGCCATTCAACCTAGGTGATATAAAAACATGGTGCCTTGCCCAGAGTAAACATTCAATAAATGTATTAGACGTGTCTGCTAAGGCACATCCTTCTACTGTTTAAATAGTTTATGAATTTCTGCCTGTTTTAGAAAATCTTCCTGTTTTAGTCACTGAGGAAATAACTGTTTTCCTTCATCTTTCTCAGTTTTAATATAGAATTCTCATCAATTAATCAACTATAAATTAGCAAGCATTTATTTAGCACCTACTATGTGTCAGGCACTGTACCTGGGGTTACAAATTCAAAAAAATGAAACAATCCATACTCAAGGAGCTTACATTCTAACAGGGGAGACAGTACAAATATCAGCATATGCAGAATAAAATTTTAATACAAATAAATATAAACTAGTTAAATAAAAGGTAGTTTAGGAGGGAGGGAACTAGCAGTTGAGAGGATAGGGAAAGCTTTATGTTAGAAGGTAGTGCTAGAGCTAGGTCTTGAAGGAAAAAGGGGTTTTAGGAATGGAGGGAAGGAGGAAATGCTTTGTAGGTTTAGGGTAAGGGAAAGATAGAACATCAGTGAGGAACAGGGAGAAAGCCAATCTGTCTATATCACAGAGCGCAGTACGGGGAATAATGTACAACAAGATTTGAAAGATGGTTTAGAGCCAGGTTGTGAAGGACTTTAAATGCTAAACAGAAATCTCTGTGTGTGTGTGTGTGTGTGTGTGTGTGTGTGTGTGTGTGTGTGTGTGTGTGTGTGTTTTCCTAGAGGTAGTAAGGAGCCACTGGAGTTTACCAAGTAAAGGGGAAGTTGGAAAGAGGAGCTGACTTGGGGGAAGAGATAGATGAGTCATTTAATGATTTAATTATTATCTATGTCAGTAACTCACAGATCCCAGTCAAGTCTCTCCCTTGAACTTCATCATCACCTATTGGATATTTCAAACTGGGGGTCCTGTGGACATCTCATACTCAACATGTCCAGAACAGAAGGGGAAGTTGCCATGATCAGGTCTGAGTTTAAGGAAAATCACTTGTGTATGGAGAATGGACTGAAATGGGGAGACACCTGATGCAGGGAGACCAATTTAAGAGGCCATCGCAATAACGCAGATGAAAGATGTTGAGGGCCTCAACTAAGGTGGTAGCAGTGTGAGCTGAGAAGGGGGGGGCGGTGGATAAGAGAGGTACTGTGGAGGTAGAAGTCATTTAAGGCAAGACTAGGAGAAAGTAGCAACCTGAAAACTCAGGGAGGAGCGTATCTAGGGATAGAAAGGTTGGGGCATCTAGTGGTGCAGTGGATAGACCACCGGGCCCTGGAGTCAGGAGGACCTGAGTTCACATCTGGCCTCAGACACTTGACACTTATTAGCTATGTGACCCTGTGCAAGTCACTTAACCCCATTGCCTAGCCAAAGAGAGAGAGAGAGACAGAGAGAGAGAAAGGTTGTTAAAAGTGTCAAATGCAACAGATAAGTTAGATGCAGAATACAAAAAGGCCATCATATTAAGCCATTAACATTGTTGGTAACTTTAGTGTTCTGTAAATTCATAATCACCTTTCTGGGGAGATTGTGTATTGGGAAAGAAAGGAGGTATACTGTGAGGAATGGGTGGTGATTTAAACAGGTAGTATTTCCCCAGGTTGATAATCATTTATGTTAAGTGTTATAAATATGAGCCATTTTTTAAGCTAATTGCACCTAGGTAAATGGAGACATTGCAAAACAGTATGATATAGGTGATAGTAGGCAGGTCTTAGAATCCAGAACTCCTGGGTTCCAGCCCCACCTCTGACACATATTAGCTGTGTGATCAGAGGCAAATCACTTAACACCTCAGGCAAATCTTTAAAACTGTAAGTTACAGATGGTTTGTCAATCTGCATTAGTACAAGGAATTTATGTGCCAGGAGCTCCCTTCATGGATGAAATTTTCAGGCTTGATGCCTCTCCCACCATTATTAACTAATTTCTATTTGTTTATCTATTTGGCAGTCCCAAGTTTATATACAATATGAAGAGTTTAGAGTTTATTTTAGTTCACTGAGATTATTTCACTTTCTCTGCAGCACCAGGATTCTTGCGGTGGTAAGAGTACTAGTCTGGGGTCAGAAGCCTTGGATTCTAGACTGGGCATTGCAGCTAAAGAGCCATGTGACCTTGAAGAAGTCCTTTAATTATTGGGCTTCAGTTTACTCATTATAATAATTATGGATTTAGATTTTATGACTTCTAAGTTCCCTTCCAACTCATTATGACTCAAGAAAGTCCAGTTTACATTTGGGACATAGTTTGTGATTTCCTCTGACACAAAGACAGCTATAGAACAATTGTTTAGGTCACTGAGATTTCCTCAGCTTCTATATCTGCTGGTATGGAAAGAGTTGGTGTTACAACCCCTAACAGCTACCCCTGAAGACACTTATTACTGTTCTTCTCTCCTCGCTTTGGGGTTCCAAGTAGCCTATAATTCTGGGAAAGTAAAAAGCCAGCCAATCTATTCTCTTCCACTGCAAGATTACCTAAGTGGTCCACTTGTCAGCAATAAGTCATCTCAAATTTGCTTAGGCTCTCTCAAGCTTTTGTCTCCCAAGCAAAGGACTTTATCTACACAATGAGCAAAAACAGGTACATTCCTAGTACTGTTCTATGTTAAACTTCCCACTTTTGTTATCACTTTCACAGCCCATGGGATCAGAGCGGATGGAGATGCGTAAACGGCAGATGGCAGTGCCCCAGGAGACAACAGACTGTACTCCAGGCCACCATGAAGTGGGGAATAGAGCATCTAATGCCTGTTGCTTCTGTTGGTGCTGTTGTTGTAGCTGCTCGTGGTATGTTTTTCAGCTTCTACATTCACACCACTTGGGTTGTAGCACACCAGAATAGAACAAATTCATATTGCTTAATTTAATTAAATAAGTCTTTATAAACACCTGGTACATGCCTAACTGGTATTAGGTATGATGAAGGATACAAAAAAAAAATAGATTATAAGATTCTTACCATCAAGGGGCTTACATTCTACCCTGACATTTAAGGAGATAAAATTTATATATGTGAAACAACTGAAGAATAATATGAGATCATATACAATCAAATGCAAAATCTTGTTACAAAATGAAGTGCTGGGGAGAGGACAGGAATGAGAGAAACAGATCAGTGTGGCCTGGAGATGGCAAAGAAGATTTTATGGAGGAAAGAGAATGCCAAAAGCTGTGTTTCTCTTTTTTTCCTGTCATTAAAATGAATTCAGAAGTAAACTATTGGGGCAGCTAGGTGGCACAATGAATAGAACACTCGCCCTGGGGTCAGGAGGACCTGAGTTCAAATACTGCCTCAGACACTTGATACTAGCTGTGTGACCCTGGGCAAGTCACTTAACCCATTGCCTAGAGGGAAAAAAAACCCAGAAGCAAACTATTTAAAATGGTGATAGAAAAGCATACAAGATCTATAATAAAGGACCTTATGGATACTGTGTCATTGATAGAGAGATCTATAGTTTTAGTTGGAATGTTGGATAGGGTTAAGCAGAATCTTTTTGTTACCATTAAAGGTCTGGAGAAATTGCAGACTATATGCTAGAATTATAGGAAAATTAAACTGAACTTTGAAATCCTGAATATAGTGCTGTGCTAATAAAAATTTTGCAAGCTTTTAACTACTAAATAGATACAAAGCAGTTACATGTAAGTACTGAATATTTCTCAACTCATTCAATTTAGTAGGATCCAATTTATGGCATTATCCTGTAGAATCTTAGAGATAATCTACCAGAGGTGGGGAACCTGCAGCTTCAAGGCCACCTGTGGCCCTCTAGGTCCTCAAGTGTGGCCCTTTGACTGAATCCAAACTTCACAGAACAAATTTGGATTCAGTTAAAGGACTGCCTTTAGTTAAAGGTGGCCTCAAGACTGCAGGTTCCGCACCCCTGACTAACCCTCTTATTTTATAGAAAAGGAAACAGACCCAAAAAGATGAGGTGACTTTCCCAAGGCCACACGTTGGAATCTAGATCCTCTCAGCTCCAAATCCAGTGATCATTCCAAAATCCCACACTGACAACATGTCCCTACTGAGACTTGTTTTGACTGTTTTTACATGATAGAGAAGTAGCCAATTCGATCAGTTTAATTAAGTTCTGCATATTGAGCAAAAAAAAAAGTCAAATGTCCTGTTTGTCATAACAGACATACATGTATATAGATACATATAAAAATATCGGTGTGGATTGTGTAGATATATATATGTGTGTGTGCATATGTGTGCTTTATATGTGTGTACATATGTGTATACATATGTTTATATGTGTATGCGTATGTGTGTGCGTGTGTGTGTGCGTGTGTGTGTGTGTGTGTGTGTGTGTGTGTGTGTGTGTGTGTGTGTGTACAGTTGACCTGACCAGAATTACTGTGTGAATATTCTGGTGGTATATAGTATGAGGCAAATTTGAAAAATGAGTGAATCCAAAATTCAAAAATGGCTAGAAGATGTGATGCTCTTCAATTAGTTCACATACATAATGTCATAGTTCTAAAGATATGATTTCTCAAATATCACATTACTTAATAGTGCATTTGCAAATCCCTTATAATAACCCCAAAACATCAAAGAGTAAAGTTGAATGAATGTCAAACCAAAAGATAGGCTGAACAGAAGTATAGAACTGCATTCATTTATAAATGAAATAATCCTAACAGATTGTTCTTATAGAATAATGGAAATCTGAGAAAATCTTACCCTATTGTGTTTTTCCCATGTACCACTTCATAGGAAAAACATTAATATTTATGATACATCTAATGGAGAAAAGCCATTTTCTTTAAAATATCAGTAGCATATCAGCATAATAGATGCTACTTTAGAGTCTGGTTTCTTTCTTATAAAATGTTAGCACTTATTTGAAAAACAAACCAGGAGAACCTAAAAGTACTTTTTAATCAAATTGTTGAGATTGAAATTTTTAGTAACTGAGTTAAAAGAATTAGCTAAGCTTCCTTCTTTTAAATGCAGCATTATTCACTTTAGGATTAAAATTGAGTAGAACCATAATAATTCTTTTTAGTGGAGCTAGAAAGAAATAACTTGGAAGAAGTTTTTATTATGGTGGAAGAGGATGCCATATTTTTAAATACATTATCAAAGCACTGGTTCAAGGTGCCAAGGTTCTCACTGGACTGTATAGTGCAATATGCTTATATTTTCAGAATATGACAAAGTGAATAGAGGGTCTGCTTCAGTCAGGACAACCTGAGTCTAAGGCCCACCTCTGACATAATTGGCTATGTGATCCTGAGCAAGTCACTTATGTACTTTCATGCCCCAGACAACTTTCTAAAACTATAAGTTACAATATAGTTATTGACCTGTTGATAGAAAGAAGGTGTTTTCTCACTGTGAAGTCTCTGCACTGATGAATTCACAGGTCTAAACAAGCAAACAAAAATTTGTGCCTATAGCTACATTATTAGGATTATAAACATTGATTTAGAGTTCAAAGTGACCTACATATCATAATTACATCTGTAATTTAGTAATATGACATAAAATTTACATGTAACAGACCATTCTATTCAATCTTGTGTGGACTAAATAATTAGCTTTTTAAAAGATCTTTTGTTATATTAAGCCCTCTATTTTTAAACAAAATTAAATGAGTCCAAGTGTCAAACATAATTAAGGATTCTTATTGCAGATTTGCTCATCCACTATTGCTCTACTTTGAAAGTGGGCTAGATATCTGTTGAGGCACACACAATATAATGTTGCTCATTATTATAGATTCAGAATTCCTAGGAACCAATTTATGTAAAACATATCTCTATACAGCAAAAACTTGATCTGGCAGACTATAAAGTGTATACTAATCTATCTTTCAACATCCCCATCATAATGGGATTCCAAGTATATATGACGGGCTGAGTAAATCACAGAGCACTGAATCTCAATTCATATCATCCTTACGTCATCAACAGATATAACAGTAATTTAATCCACCATTGGATATTTGTTGATACTATATATTGGCATTTACTTATTAGAATACAAACATTTGTAAGACACTACGGTGGAGGATGGAAGAAGATTATAAGCAGTAATACCCCCATAAAACAATTCAAGGCAGTAGAATGTAAAACAAATCTTTAGAAAGCTTGACATGACACAAAACTAAACTAGGACATGGAGACACAGTTCAGTAGTAGATTACTGCTTTGTCTGTAAAAGGCCTCAGAGTTCAATCCCTAGCATCTCCAGGGCTTGCTTTCAAAAAAGCTAGGTGGCATGGTAAAGGAGGTTTAGAAACAAGAAAACTTGAATTCCAATCCTGCCTCAAATATTGATTAGCTGTTATCCTGGGTAAGTCATTTAATCTATATCAGCCGGTTTCCTCACCTACAAAATGGGGGAAGGGGAAGGGGAAGGGAAAGGAAGAAGGAGGGGGAGTTGGATTTGATAGTCTCTGAAGTCCCTTCCAGTTTTGTTTATAATTCAATAATCTTTTGTGTCTTCCCAAAAAAGCATTAATAGATTAAACTGTCAGGGAGATAATCAGAAAATAAGAAAAAAATTGTCAATATTTTTATGACTTTTTTTTCCACCCTCAATGACAGAGGCAAATGACCACTTCTCAGATGCTGAACTGGGAATTGGAGGTATGGGTTGAATCAGATGACTATTGAATTCCCTTTCAGCTCTGAAATTTTGTGATTCTATGTGTCTTTTCACAAGATACAGTCTGAGGAAGTACAACATTTGGACCCTAACATCCTAACCCCTGATGAATTATACAAAAAAGTCAAATTAGAACTTAAAAAACAAGATCAAGAAGAAAGGCTTGACCAGATCAGCTACCACAAAGGTAACCCATGCTGTGGAAAACACAATCTTAAAGCATTTGGGATCATTTTGCATGATATTTCTGGGAAAGAAAAACATCAAAAGAATGAAAAAAAGTATGATATAACCCCAGCAAGGCACCTGTAACTACCAACCCTTATGCCTATTTCTCTTATTTTTAGAATCTCTTCATAAGAATGTTCTCAAAGGTACTTTTGATAAAAATATGAGAGGGAAGCCATTTGCAAGTGATTCTCCATAAACCACATCTTTACAATTACACAAATGACTGACAGATGCAGAGAATACAAGATACCCCTTGAGTTCATTATTTTTTGATTAGACACAGTCTGTCTCTCAGTCAGTTAATGAACACCCACTATATGCCAGTCACTGTGCTAACCAGAAAGGCAAAAACAGTCTCTTCCCTCAAGGAGCATACATTCTAACGAGGGAGACAATATGCAAGCAACTATATACATGTAAATAAGATACACACAGGAATGTACACTATGTAACCGTAAAGGTTCTCTTCCAACCTCACATACATTAAGATTATACTCTTGATAAATGGAACAAGAGACAACAATTTTCTGATTACTAATTTCAAACAAAGCATACAAGGAACTGTATGCTCACCAAATATAACAAATGTAGAGTCCAAATAAAAGAGGAATTCCTTAAAGGTAAGGCCCTCCCAGTTCTGATGTTTGTGGATTATATTGTGCTGATTGTATTATGCAACAGAAGATTACAGGGTCTCTTCAAAGAGATTCATGATTACTCAAAGGAGATCTACTGGAAAATCTATACGTGAAATATAAGAGATGAAAAATACATATTGTCCATATTATGACAGTTGGATGGCCACAGTAAAGAGTTGGTCCATCAGAACACATATCTGGGACATCTGGCCATGTCACTTCTTACTGAAGGATACTCATTGGTTCCCTATTGCCTCTAGGATAAAATACAAATTCCTCAGCTTGCCATT